TGGCCCATTGGGACTCACAAGTTGAATTCTGCTCAACATGCAGACCTATCTCAAGATAGGCCTTTTTTCTTGCTGGAAATGTAACATGGCGGCCGTTTTGCTGGGATGACAGCAGGTTTCTACAATGCCTAGGTTTTTTTTTTTTTAAATTCAACCTCAGCTTGGCTTGAGGAATTTCAGATTAAAAAATACCACTCCACCACCACCCCGCCCCCACCCCAAACATACACAGACACACACACATATCATTTAAACACACACGGGACTCTCCACCCTTGTCTAACGCCTAACCTTTCCCACCCGCCGGTATTTCAATCAACAGCCTACACAGAGACATATTTAATAAACATTTCTCAATGTTCTCCAGACCCATGGCCACCACATAAAACACGGTGATATCAAGCATGCCTGCGGGTGATCAAAAATTACATTCAGAATGGGCGAAGTTCCCGGTGTCTCAATTTACAATTGATTTTTAATTTAGACACAATTATCAAGGAAGGCATCCCCTTTACTTAGACGAGGAGGCGAATGTGCCACAAGACAGAAACGGTGGCTTTCAGAGGGGAATAATAAAATGGGGAAAGGGAGAAAGAGCTGCAGAGAAAAGGAAATTATAGACGTGAAAGATTTTGTGGGATTTTTACATCTTCGGATCTTCCTCAGCCTTCCAAGAGGGGGGAAAAACAGTAAATTATCGTGACTTCATCTCTTGAGCTTCCTAATTTCCACTGTACATTCAGGACTTTGTAGTGGATTTATATACAAATCTTGAATTTCAGACCAAGGTGCATTCATCTTACTGAGGGCCTTCTTTTCCTATTTGTGAACCAGAAATCATTATTTTTCAGCTACTGAAACTATATCTGTCAGTTATGGATATTATTCAAAACTGAGAAGAACCCTTTTTCCCCTAAAGCGTTGGGCAAAATCTACTTTAAAATTCTTATTTTCCAAGTTCTTTTAGGAAATGATTCCCTAATCGACACCGTTTGCCACTCTAAAGGATAGGAAGCAATGCTGTCCTAACAATACAAACTCTTACCCACTTAAGTTTCAACACAATTGACACACTTTCCACAAAACTGACACCGTGAAAGAACTGCTAGCTGGATTTTGCTATTGTGATTAGTCAGAACCAAAATCAGCCTCTTTGCAACCCCATCACTGCAAACTATTTTTGCACATTTGATTTTCTTTGGTTTGGGGGGAGAGGAAAGAACAATTGTGGATGCGATGGTTATGTTTTACCTGCGAACGCTAACAATATGAGAATAAACTAGGAAGTTGGGTTTGTTTCCATAGGCAAATTCACAGAAAAATAACACAGCCACAATCTGTATTATTTTTGGGATAATTCATTAGGCATTCGCTTGAAGTATGTACTGATAGGATGGTGAAAAAAATATTAATTTAAGTCTACTGACTATTTATGTTCATTGGTGTTGAAGTCCTGGCTCCGCATGAGACACATTTTTTCTTTAATTTGTAAGAGTTTGTAATCTTTTCCATTTTTTTTTTGAAGGGGGGGGGAACGACAGAACAGTGACTCCAAATATTTCACATTTTTTCAAAGCTACATCCTGGAGCTTTCAGAGATTCCCACCAAGAGGACCCACTAATTTTTACAGTGCCAAGAATCAGGAAGTAGATAATCATAATTATCAATGATGTAAGAAATGGGAGGGTGGGGCCAGACCCAAAAATAAACCCTGGAAAACCCACTTGCCATAAAATATCTTCCACATCACACAAAGAAAGACACACAAACAGTGACAAAATAAGGATTGCGTTTTTTAAGGCAAGGTTCAATGAAAGTCAGTGGCCCACTGGCTTTTAAAAAAAATAAAAACCAGCTCAAATCAGGCAAATTCCTCTCTTAGGATTTTGAGGTGAGGGGAAAAAAAAGTGGAAATAACAATGCAAACACGGGAGAAAGGAGCAAAAAATGTAAGAGGTTAATTCCTCCGTGAGAAAAATAATCCATGTGACTCACGTAGGTTAGCTTCAACCACCCCTTACCCACAAATAGAAAAGATTAAATTATCCCCAGTTCTTCAGGTTGCTAAACTATGATAGCAAAGACCAAAGTTGGTCCCAGAAGAGGGCAAGTGCCAAGAGAATATGATAGTCCCCAGAGATACTTCCCTCAAATCTCAGCCATAATGTCCAAGGTGGCCTCTAAACTTCTCCTGTATCCTTCCTTATACTACAGTTTCCTTCAAACCCAAAACATTTTGTTTTAGAATGAAGCTCTTTATTCATCAGGGCAGAAAGTGGCAGAGAGAAGACTCTCGTAAAGACTCTGAGTTGTGAACAAACCAAGAGTACCCTTCCATGAAGAGCCCCACAAATCTGTTGTTTGAGGTATTTGTGTCCAGTGGGGAGATATTTTTTATGTTTTTATTTGGTGAAAATCGGCTGCCAGCGAACAATTCAGACTTTCAGTCTGTTGTGGGCCTTTCCATAATCGGATGACACCCCAGTCCGTTTCTGCACGCATTAACACAGCCCTGACACATCAGCAGGTAGCTAAGAGGCGCTGAAAACAAGTGTCACAACACAACTTGTGCCAAGAGACACAAAACCTTCAACCTTAGCCAAGGCACTCACAAAAAAAACCTGCAGGCATTATTTTACTGTTGTTCCCGAAAAGTATCCCACAGACTGCTAATTTTGTGGTGATTTTTTTTAACTTTTGCTCTAAATAAATTAGAATATTATATTGGGAAACTACCTTACTCTCTTTCTCTCTCTCTGGATCAAGAAGGAACTTCTCCTTTTTATAGTTGGGCTCAAATTGCAGAAAGGAAAGAAAACGGAAAAGGTTTCCTAAGGTTTTTGAGTGTTAAAGAGAAAATGACGGACCGGTGAAAGATTCGGAAGTGATGCACCATTTATGAAATACTAAACACAATGTATGAAATACTAAACGGGGAGAAAAAGGAGAATGTAAATGCCAGCTTTTCCTTCAACTGGGAGACTAAGAACCACTTTTTCCGAAAGGGGTTTTTTGGGGGTGGGTGGGGGGGTAGACTTAGAGTTTGCTAAGATTAAAGGAAGAAGCTGTTATTTTGGGGTTAAGATCCTGTCCATTATGAGCAATCAAAGTTTGGCTCTCATCCAACAGTCTGTTTCAACTACTTCAGAAAGCTGTTATAAGCCCTCAGCGAGGGGGGAAAAAGTCACTTCTGAATGTTTAGCCCTACTTTGGATTTAGTAAGAGGACTCGTTTAAACACTGTTTGTGTTCACATTACAGACTGGCATGGACAAGAATGGCACAAACAGACCCCATATTCCAGGAATGTCGGGTTTACCTGACCATTATAACCCAACCAATTAGGATTCTTTATATCAGAAGTGGAGAGAAGCAATCTAACCCAACCACACCGAATGAAAAAATGTAATCAACTATCGTGCCCTTCACCAAAAATCCATTGGGTCACCATCTTTGGGTGAGCTTCTAACATTTGCCAGTCTGATGCTCCCCAAATTGCTCAATTTTAGACAGTGTCACATTTATTTGGAAGGCAACTCTCTCCACTCCCATCTAAATTGGAAATATAAAACTTTTCCCTTCAAGCTGTGGGGGGGAAAAAATAATAAGGTCTGCCTATTTGGTCCAGCAAGTTAAAAAAAAAAGAACAAAAGAAAACCATATTTCCATCCAAAGTGGTTAAAAAGAGCGAGAAAGAGAGAGGCACAGTAGAAAACTGTTTTAATTTGACAAGATCGAGACCTTAAGTGACATATAATTGATTTTACAGTCTGCACCGCTTCAGAAAATTGTTCTCCTTGGCTGCACAGTCTTATGACTTCCTAGAACTGACTTCTGGATGACTGATTTAAATATTTCTTATTTTCAACAAGGTACCAAAATGTAGGACAGCTGCTTGTCCGTGACTTAGTGTGTTGTCTATGGATGTCTCTGTGTGCTTGTGTGTCCATACCCGCAAATGTTGAATTATTGGGGGGACTTGAAGCATGGTGAAGAGATGAAAGATGGAGGGCACCCCAGTGAAATTTATCCAAGTTAGACTGAAACTAGCAAAGAGATGTGAAATTTAACCAAATCTGGCATTCTTGGCCTCCAGAGAGTTTGGTAGCGGAAAGACGACCTGACCCAATTTTTTGCTAAAAAAAATAAATAAATCCAGGAATAAACATTCACCTGCCATCACCCTCCCCAACGATGACTAAGCAAATATCAATTTGCAAAAAAGAGACCAAAAGTGTTTTATGCGAGGTATTCTTCCAGCCCTTGATATAAAGAAAACTATTCGCAATCATTACAAATTTTAGGAAGATGGGATTGCCTGATCTGAACTTCCAGACAAACCCAGATATGACACAAGGATGCAGCAGCTGAGCTAGAAAGAGACCAAAATAGCACCTCTCTGCCAGCCAAAAAAATTATGTCCTCCCTGCCCCCCCTCCGCCCCCAAATTGGTCAACATTTAAAACAAAAAACAGGTCACTTCCCAAGAGTTTGTACGTTGATCTTCCTCACACCACAGACAGGACAAAATTCCACTTTCAAACTGTCTTCTGCACAGCTTATAAATGATACAAAAGCTATAGTGTGGGATGCATTTAAAAAAAATAAAATAAGGTTGATAGTTTGAAAGAAGCAATTTTTTCCCCCCTGAACTGAGCTGGAAATATTTCCTCCAGCGTCTCTTTGCAGCAATTTTTCTAGTTAATGTCTTTTGCAAAGGAAGCCAGAGACAAGATTGCTATCTCCATTTCAGGCATCCAAAGTGGAAAAACTTCTTTTCTTCCTTCCACTTTATCCAACGTGTCGTTCCACCCCCCCCCCAAAAAAAATACCGGAAAAATCCAAGGACACCCCCCCACTCAATTCCCCAACCTCTTCTCCTCCCAGAGCCCCACCCCGTTCAAATGCAACTGAAGACAGACAAAAGCTTTTCTTTTCTTTTTTTCACACACACCCCCCTCCATCAGCTCAGCTCGGTCCCTTTTTAACTCCCCACTTACCTAGGATTGGTTTTGTTCCAGTACACCGCGTAGCGATCCGAGATAACTTTGCTCCCGTCCTCCGTCCAGACACAAACCCCAATGAGGGCGACCACAAGCGCCGCGACCTCCGAAAGTTGCATTTTACTTGATTGGCGCTCGGCTCCAACCTTTTTTTTTTTTTTTTGGCCAGGAGATTTTTTTTTTCTCGCTTATTTTTTTCTTTTCCTTTTCTTTCTTTCTCTTTCTTTTTTTTGCAGAGCTTTGATGCTTTAAGAAGAAGGACCCCGCTTCATTTCTCCTTTTATTTTGGCATGTTTCTTAAAATGTCTGGGGGGTGGGAGAGGTCACCCCCCCACACACACCTTTAATCGCCTCCGCCTGGCTTTCTTTCTCGGGGGTCCCCCCTCCCGCCCCCGCCCCCTTTTGTGGGATGCCAAACTTTTTTCTTTCTTTTTTTTTCTTTTTTTTGGGGGGGAGGAAGGAGGGGGAGAAGCCGGGATTCCTAATTTATTGCACGGAGACGGAGCAGGTTCTGGGCACCTTTGCAGTTCTTAAGATCTTCTTAGGAACGAAGCGATGCAGCATCCTACCGTCCATCCAGGTCCAGGAGCTTCTTGGAAAAGCGATCCAAGCGTCGGGAATCACAAGCAAAGCTGGCTTTCCAATGGGGGAGAGGTGGCGGGTTGGGGGGAGGAAAGTCTGTTTTCTAGGAACAGATGGCTGCGGGTCGTTTTTGCTCTTTTTCTTTCTTTCCTCTTAAAAAGGAGCGCTCTGCAAACTTCCTTCTCCTCTTGCTCCCCCCTTTCAAACTCTTTGCAGGCGTGAAACCATCCTCGCTGGAAGTGTGTGTGGGGGGGGGGGGTGTTTCAATGTTCAAAGGGTGGGGTGCTTTCCAAAGAGGAGAGGAGCAAAATCCTGAGGAAAAATCGCGAATGGGAATAAATCACAGGCTTTGGGAAAGAGGTATTCCCCCTCCCCTCTTCACAGTCTCCCCGAAGAAGGCAAAAGCAAGAAAAGCTGTCAAGTCAGCAAGCCAAAAGTCTCAAGAGAAATCACTTCTGGATTCTGCCATGTCTAACCCTGGCAACAGCCACAAAAAAAAAGAAGGAATTAAACAATTCCTGGTTTTGATTTTTTTTTTTGGGGGGGGGGTGGTGGTTAGTTTTTCAAGAGCCCGGCGCTTTCTTTCCCAGATGGCCAGCAGTTGCCCAGAAACGGAATTAAATTAGGAATTGTTTTTTCCTCTTCCACCTCCTCCTCCTCGCTAAAAATCAAATCAATCTATCTTTTCTTTTGAAAAAAAGGAAGGTTCCCAGCATACATACATGTGCAGCGTAGTTCGAATTTTCCAGTTTTAAAGAGCTTTTCCTTTCTTTTTTTTTTTCTTTCTTTCTTGGTATCTTCTCCTCTTTTTCTTTTCTTTCTTTTATAAAAAAAAAAGCAGAATCTGTCCCGCCGAGGTTGTTTCCTTTAAAAAAAAAAACAGAGGCAAACAAGATAAATAAAACGGACCTTTGAACCCCCTTCTGGACAACTTCTATTTCAATTTTTTTTCCCCCTCTCCTTTCTTCGCTCCCCAGAAAACTCCCAAGAACGCCCCTCGCTCGGTTCACACAACAGGTTTCTCACTTGCGAGAAAAGACGCCCCTCCGTCCCCTCCCCTCCCCCCCAAAATCTACTTTTCCTGCTTTCATCCCCACTTTTCTTTTCTTTTTTTAAACAATGCGAGAAGCTCCCCTTATATAAACCGAGAAGAAAGAACACCGAGGCGCAGCGGCACAAGCAGCATTGCAAGGGGGAGTAAAAAAAAAAGAGAGAGGAGGCAGGAGGAGGAGGAGGAGGAAAGCAAAGGGGTGTGTGTGTGGGTGTGTGTGTGTGTGAGAGAGAGAGAGAGAGAGAGAATATTGGAGGGAGGATGCAAGGTGAGCGCGCAGGGGTGCCGATTCCCCCCATTCTTCCTTCCCTCCTCCCATCCTTTCTCCCATCCTGCTTTCCTCCCCTTCCCTCCATCCCTCCTTGCCCCCATTTAAAATCCTCATTTAAAGGATTTCTTTTTATTAGGACCAAGACTGCAATATGCCCATCCTGGTTGGAAACGCACGCGCTGGCAACGTGATTCTGGATAAAACATGCTCCCACCTTTTTTTTTTTTTATCTCTCTCTCTCTCTTTCTATTTTTTTCCCCCCCGTTCCGGAATCAAAAGAAGAAGAAAAGAAAAAAAAAAAAAAAGAGAGACAGACAAGGCAGCAAGAAAGAAAGAAAAGGTAGGTAGAGCAAGATTTTGTGTGTGTGTGTGTGTGTGTGTCCGTTTAAGCCTCGCCGGCGATTCCCCCCTTTTTTAAGCCTTGCCACTTTATTAAGAGGTCTCCCCTCCGGCTCGCCCGTTCCTGCCGGGGCTTCGCGCCGCTGCCGCCGCCGCCGTCGCCGGCTGCCTGGCCACTCTCGCCAAGAGGGACATCGTCGCCACTTGGCCGGGAAGCCTAAAGTAAGCGCGGCGCTTTCGCCCAACGCCCCCGCCCCAGCTTTCCATCGGGGCGGAGCCCGCCCGGACTCAAGGTTGGTTGGCCGGCGAGGGGAGAGCCCCACCTTCCGCCATGTGCGGCTCCTGCCGCCGCCGCCGCTGCTGCCGCTCCGGCCTGTTGGAGTCAATTCCACGTCTCTCGGGGAGGGTCCGGGCCGAGGCAGGGAGAAGAGGGGGAGGGCCCCACGGGGGAGAGGAGGAGGGTGGGGGAGCATGAAAACGCACGCAGGTTTTACTTTATTTTGGGGGGACGGGAAGGGGGGGCACTTTGGTGAAGTCCGCCGCAGCTGCTGCAGAAAAGGTAACTCTCCAGCTTTCTCTTTACTTCATTTATTTCGTTCATTTGTATCCTGCCTATATATAGATATGGATGTAGATATAGATACAGATATAGATGTTAATATAGCTATAATAAAAGCACAAATATTAAGATGTGGGAAAATACCCGAAGAAACCTAAATACCATACATATAAATACCCGCGAAAACATAAGAAAATAAATAGAGAGAGAGAGAGAGAGAGATAGATAGGTAGATAGATAGATATATCTATATCTATATATGTCTGTCTATCTATCTATCTATCTATCTACGCAGGTCTTGAGCCGTGTAAGATTAATCTTACACAGGAAAAGACCCAAACATGCCAAGACCTGCATACCTGTACCCGTGAAAATCTACGAAAACGTGTGTGTGTGTGTGTGTGTGTGTGTGTGTATATATATATACAGACTGTATGTATGTATGTATGTGTATATATGTGTGTATAAATATGTTTGTGTATGGATATGTATATATATGTGTGTATGTGTATAAATGTGTATGGATATGTATGTAAATATATGTGTGTGTGTGTGTTTTATTTATATAAATAAAATTAAATAAAAATTAATTCAAGGCTGCGAACAAATCCAGCCTCCTGTTCTGCCCACAACAACAACCCCGCGAGGGGGTTAGGCTGAGAGAGACGGGGGAGGGGGGGGCTGGCTCAAAGTCACTCAGCCGGTTTTCATGGCTAAGGTGGGACTGGAACTGTTTGGAATAGAATAGAGCTGGAAGGGTCCTTGGAGGTCTTCTAGTCTAGTCCAACCCAGTAGGATGGCTAGGAAGGTAACCACTAGGATGGTTAAAGGTCCATCAATCAATAGAGCTGGAAGGGGCCTTGGAGGTCTTCTAGTCCACCCCTCTCCTCAGGCAGGAAACCCTGTCGCATTTCAGACTAGTGGCTGTCCCATCTCTTCTTAAAAACCCCCCAGTGATGAAGCACCCACAACTTCTGGAGGCATTGGATAATTGTTTTCCCTGTCAGGAAGTCTCTCCTTTGTTCTAGATTGCTTCTTTCCTTCATTAGTTTCCATCCATTGTTTCTTGTCTTGTCTTCAGGTGCTCTGGTTGATTTCTCCCCCCCCCACCTTTTTTGTTGTTGTTGCAGCCCCTCAAATGTTGGAACACATTTGTGTTCCATACCACAAATGTTGGTATATCATCCCTAGACCTTCTTTTCTCTAGAGTAGCCATACGGTTGCAGGAATTGAGTATGGCCAGTCTAGAAAAAGAAGGACTGGGGTGACATGATAGCGGTATTCCAATATTTGGGGGGCTGCCACGAAGAAGAGGGGTCCGCTTATTTTCCAAAGCACCAGAAGGCAAAACAAGACACAATGCAAGGAAACTAATCAAGGAAAAACGCAACCTTGGAATTAAGGAGAAACTCTCTAACCGTGAGGAGAATTAACCAGTGGAATAACTTGCCTTCGGAAGTTGTAGGTGCTTCATCCCTGGAGGTCTATGGAGATTCTCAATTAGGGTTGTCCCAAAGGTGCTTTTTCAAGAGGCAACTGGACTTTCTGGTGATTCTTTGAAGAAATTTCACTTTTCACCCAAGATAAGAAGCGAAACATCTTCAAAGAAAAAGCAGAAAGTCCAGTTGCCTCTTGAAAAAACTTCCATCACTGGAGGTTTTTAAGAAAAGACTGGACAACCAGCTCTCTGAAATGATATGCAGTCTCCTGTTTGAGTAGGGAATTGGATTAGACCTCCAGCTCTGTTCTGATTTAATCATCCTAATCTCTCTTCCCTACACTTTTTCCAAAGTCTCAACATCTTTTTTGTAATGTGGCAACCAAAACAGGACGCGGTATGCCAGATGTGATCTTGCTATGATTTTATAAAGCGGTACTAATACTTCACTCCTTGTCTGCTGCTTTCTAGCCTGGTGCCTTAACGCTACATCAAACTGGCTCTATGCTTTATTGCTATTTGTCCCAAAGATTTACAGATGGGTTCCATTTAAACAGCTGGGGAATCACTTTCTTCTCTGCCTCCCCCCCTTGATAAAATATCAGTCAGTCATATTTAAGATCCATCCATTTCCTTCACAGGGGCATTGTGCAATAAAATACTTTAAAAGATAGGAAGGTAGGTAGGTAGGTAGATAGATAGATAGATAGATAGATAGATAGATAGATAGATAGATAGATAGATAGATAGA